GGCAGGAAGCAGTCAAATTGTCTGTATTTGCAGCTGATGTCACCTTATATCTAAAAGAGCCTAAAAACTACACCACAAACATCTCAGACATCATAAACACTTTCAGCAAAGGATACAAAATCAATATACAAAAATCATTATCTTTTCTTATGCCAGCAATGAACTCAGAAAAACTCCCGTTTATAATATCCTCAAAAAATAACTAGGAATAAATCAGAAAAACTCCCACTTACAATATCCTCAAAAAAAAACTAGGAATAAATTTAACAAAGTAAATGAAAGACCTTTAGAACAAAAACTATAAATCACTAAAGAAATTGAAGATATTAGAAGATGGAAAGATCTCCCATGCTCATGGATTGGTAGAATCAATATTGTAAAAATGGCTGTATTACCAAAAGCAAGCTATATGTTCAATGCAGTCCCTAACAAAATTCCAATGACCTTTATCATGGAGATACAAAAATTATTCCTAAAGTTCATATGGAAGTACAAAAGACCTTAAATAATCAAAGCAATCCTGAGCATAAAGAGCAGTGCTGCACCCAGCCACTGGCAGCTCACAACCTAGCTACTTGGCAGGCTGAGATCAGGAGGATCACGGTTCAAGACCAGCCCCTGCAAATTGTTCACGAGACCCCCATCTCCAAAAAACTAGAACAAAAAGGATTGGAGTCATGATGTAAGCAGTAGAGCGCCTGCTTTGCAAGCATGAACCCTGAGTTCAAGCCCCAGTCCCACTTCAAACACACCCCCACCCACGGATTACAACAACAAAAACACTGAAGGTATCACAGTAGCTGGCTTCAAACTATTTTACAGAACCATAGCCATAAAAGGAAGTTGGTAATGGCACAAAAACAGACAAGAATACCAGTGGAACAGAATTGAACACCCGGACATAAATCCACACAGCTATAGTCAATCTGGGTTTTGAGAAAGGAGCCCAAAACATATGTTGGAGAAAAGACCACAACTTTCAGCAAATGATGCTGGGAAAACTGTATATCTGCATGTAATAATCTGAAACTAAGTCTCTTTCACCTTGTATCAGTATCAGTTCAAAGTGGAACAAAGATCCTAGAAGCTTTGAAACTATCAGGAAAAAATAGTGGAAACTCTGGAATATTTATACATAGGCAATAACTTCATAAATAGAACTCTGATACTTCAGCAGTTAAGAGAAAGGATTGGCAAACTGGACTACATCAAACCAAAAAACTTCTGCACAGTAAAGGAAACAGTCACCAGATACAAGAGATAGCCCCCAGAATGGGAGAAAAATCTTTGCCAGCTATACATCTGACCAGGGATTAGTAACAAGAATATACAGTGAGCTCAAAAAACTAAACTCGCAAAGATTTAACCACCCAGTGAAGCGCCAGGTGAGGTGACTTATGCCTGTAACCCTAGCTACTCAGGAGACAGAGATCAGGAGGATCGTGGTTCAAAGTCAGCCCGGGTAAATAGTTTCCGAGACCCTATCTCGAAAACATTCAACCCAAAACAGGTCTGGTGGAATGGCTGAAGTGTTCGAGCTCCTTGCTAGCAAGAGTGAGACCCTGAGTTTAAACCCCAGTACCACCCAAAACCAAAACCAAAACCACCCAATGAAGAAAGGGACAAATAAACTGAACAGAAAATTTTGCTCAGCATCTCTGGCCATAAAGGAAATGGAAATCAAACCCACATTAAGATTTCACCTCACTCCAGTTAGATGGCAATCATCAGCACAAACAAAAGTGTTGAGGACGTGGGGAAAAAGGAACCTTTTACACTGTTGATAGGAATGTAAATTTGTACAACCACTATGGAAAGCAGTATAGATATTCCTTAAAAACTGAAATAGAAGTACCATATGATTTAGTGATACCAATCCTGGGCATACATCCAAAGGTTTGTAAGTCAAGATACAGTAGAGACACTTGCACCCCCCATGTTTAATGCAGCACTGTTCACAATAGCCAAGCTGTGGGAACAACCAAGATGCCTTACAACTGATGAATGGATTAAGAAAATGTGGTACATATATACTCACACATACGTATATATGTATACGTATATACACAGTGGAGTAGTATTCATCCACAAAGAATGAAATGTCTTTTGTAGGTAAATGGATGAAACTGGAGGTAATCATGTTAAATGAAGTGAGCCAGGTTCAGAAAAACAAAAGGTCCCATGATTTCTCTCATATGTGGAAGAATTGATTCAAAAGATATACACAAGTACAAACTGATCACACACACAAACATGTTCAAAATAGTGGGACTGTCTGAGGGGACTATGAGGAGGAGGGAAAGGAAAAGAGAATGATAGAGAGTGAATAATATTGAAATGTATTGCATTTGTGTAGGAAGAAGGCATAATGAAACACTGACAGCTGTTGAATAATTTGGGGTATGGGGAAAAGAGTAATGAAGAGTAGTTACAGAGGGTGTTAACTTGATTAAAGTACAATATAGTCACAGGTGAAATTCCATGGTAAAAACCCTTTGAACAATGAATATACACTTTAAAAAAGGACAGGAGCCAGGTGTCAGTTGCTCATGCCTATAATTCTAGCTACTCGGGAGGCAGAGATCATGAGAATTGTGGTTCTAAGCCAGCCCTAGGCAAAGAGTTTGCAAGACCCTATCTTGAAAATATCCAACACAAAGGGCTGGCAGAATGGCTTAAGTGCTAAAACACCTGCCTAGCAAGTGAGAGACCCTGAGTTCAAACCCCTGTACCAACAAAATAGAGGACAGATAGTTGTAGCTGGGAGGGTGAATATGGTCAATGTACTTTATAGATTTGTATGAAAATACAATAATGAAACCTGTTGAAATCATTTTTACTAGGCGGAGGGCGATAAGGGAGAATGGTGGTGGGGGTGAACCTAACCAAGGTACGTTGTAACCATGTATGGAGATGTCACAGTGAACCCCGTACAAATAATACATGCTAATAAAATTATTTTTAAGAACAATTTGAGACATAGGAGGTACTGTCTCCTGGAAAAAAAGCTAATAAAAACTCCCCTAAATTCTTTAATGTCATTATCTATTTAGTTCTAATTGTAATCTTTTAAGACTGAATAAAATTCCTTCAATGAATATTCCTTAACCTATTTAATCATTCCATATTATTAGGACATTTAAGTTGTATACAGATTTGCTTGATTATAAATAATGTGGTGGACAGGTTCTATGCTTTTTCTATATTTGAATCATTTTCTTAGGAAGGATTTCTAGAAGTTGAATTATAGTACAGAAGAAGGTCACATGATGTTTTATCAAGTCTTGGACTTCGTGTGTTATATTAAGAAGTTCTTGTTTAGGCTATATATCTTAAGAGCCTCTTTTTTTTTTTTTTTTTTTGTCTTTTTTTGGTGCTGGGGATTGAACCCAGGGCTTTGCATATGTAGGCATATGCTCTTCCACTGAGCAACATCCCAGCCTGTGCCTCAGTATTTTTAACAAAGAGGCGGCTCATTGCCCTCCTCCTAGGGTGCAAGACTGGCTCTTTTGTCTTTCATTGTACCTACCCAACATGGAATTCTTTGGCCATGTGAATTCTTTCTTTCTCTTTTTTTTTTTTTGTGCTTGGTAGACAAGCACTCTACTGATTGAGCCACACCTCTAGCCCCTTATTACTAACTTTTTACCTGGGCTTGCCTCAAACTTCGAGCCTTCCCAGGTAGGCTTCCCAAGTAGGTGGGATTACAGGTGTGAGTCAACATGCCTGGCTTCTTTTTTTTTTTTCCTTTTGAGTTAGCGTCTCACTGTGTTCCTCAGGCTGGCTTCTCAAACTCGCTATCCTCCTGCTTCAGCCTCTTGAGTCTTGGGAATACAGATGTGTGTCACATGCCTGGTATAGCCATGTATATTCTTGAACCTAATGTGAGAAAGGTGTTGTAGTTTTGGAGATAGATAAGTACAGGTAAATTTGATTCACTATTTGTAAATTTGTCTTTACTATTTTTAAAAGGCAAAACAGAAATTAACAAAACATCAAGGTAGTCATTTAAATTCAAAGTTTAGCTTTATTCTTGCATCAGTTATTAAACTGAGCCTTCTGGGAATCAGTAATAGTCTGGATTAAGCAGGGCTACAGATGTAGCTCATGGTAGAGTGCTTGTTTATCATGCACAAGGCCCTGGATTAAATCCCCGGCACTGTAAATAGTAAATACTATAGTAAGCAATATGTGAGGAATTTGTCTCTCTTGTCTGTTGTTGGTTTTTCTGGGATGCAGAGTGGTAGGTACAATACAAGGAGCATGGACTTTAGAGTCAGATAATATAATGATAATATAGGACTGGAAGTGTGCCCAAGTGGTATAGAGTACTTGCCTGGTAGGTGCAAGGTCCTGAGTTCAAACCTCAGTAGAATCAAAAACAAATATACATACAAACAATGATAATACAAACACCATTTATTGGGTATATTATGTTCCAGACATACTGTTAAGTCTTTTACTTATGTCATTTAATTTTCACAATAATCCTATAAGATAAGTTTATGATCTTCATTTTCCTAGAGAATAACTAAACCTATGGATGGTTAAACACAAAGCATATGGAAGAATTATGTCTGTCTCTGTAGTCTGTCTTTTTTCTTTCTCTTTCTTTTGCCCTCTAGTCATCCTCCATGTTTCCCAGAATCCCCTTCCCAGTCTGTGGTACAAGTTCTCCTCTGTGACATATGATTGTTAGGTGTACTTAAGGAATTGTTTGAGAAGCACCGTTCTGAGGCTTTCACTTCCTTACTTTATCTCTCATCTCCCATTGTTACAACACAGACCCTACAGTAATAGTTTCAGTTCAGTATGAGGTATGTGATTACAATAGAGAGAATGTTTCACAGATTGCTTGGGCAGTTCATATTTTCATTAGTTATGGATCTCTTATTCTTTCCAAAGTTTTTGAGGTTAGGCATTAAGTCATTGCATTTCTGCTCTTCAGTTCTTTTACCCATTCATCTTTTTTCTCTCAATTTTGCTTTTTTTTTTTCTAGAGTTTGAGTTCTTATACAAATGGAGCATATGGTCCAGCATACCCTCCTGGCCCTGGGGCAAATACTGCCTCATACTCTGGGGCTTATTACGCACCTGGCTATACTCAGACCAATTACTCCACAGAAGTTCCAAGCACTTACCGTTCACCTGGCAACAGCCCAACTCCAGTCTCTCGTTGGATGTATCCCCAGCAGGACTGTCAGAGTGAAGCCCCGTCTCTTAGGGGGCAGGTTCCAGGATATCCTGCTTCACAGGTGAGCAGTTAGTTTTCTGCTGGAGCAAGGGTATGTGTGTGGAGAGGGAATTCATAGTCTGCATTTTGAATTGTAAACAGTGGAAAGATAAATATTTACACTAGTGCTGATTTAAGAAAACACTCCAGATAGTCAGACTTTTCCACAGTGAAGGCAAGGACTACTTTTATATTAATGCCTTTCTTACTTGTAGCAGCTATTGTAGTAAATGGATTTTGGCTAAAGGAACCTTAAAAATGCCACAGTCATAAATTTTTTTTTGATGGTACTAGGGCTTGAACTTAGGACTTTGTGCTTACAAAGCAGGTGCTCTACTACTTGAGCCAGCCTCCAGTGCATTGTGTTACAGTTATTTTGGAGGTAGGGTCTTGCAAACTGTTTGCCCAGACTGGCCTTGAACTTGGTCCTCCTGATCTCAGCCTCCCCGGTAGCTAGGATTACAGGTGTGAGCCGCTGGCACCCAACACAATCATAAAATTTTTATAGTGAAAGAAATCTTTAGTTTTTGCTTGAAGGTTTCCCTGTTTTAACCTTTTTTTTTTAGTGCTATTAGGTTTATATTTTTTAAATACTCTACGAATGATAGAATGTTTATTTCTCTGTTCATTTCTTTTTTTTTTTTTTTTTCCAGTACTAGGGCTTGAACTCAGGGCCTATACCTTGAGCCATCCACCACCCCTTTTTTGCTATGGGTTTTTGAGATAGGGTCTCACGAACTATTTGCCTGGGCTGGCTTTGAACTCCAATCCTCCTGATCTTTGTCTCCTGAGTAGCTAGGATTATAGGCATGACCCTCCGGCACCCAGCTCTCTATTCATTTCAAGATGAGATCTAATATATCTTTGTATTTATAGCGTATGGCATTATTTGTTTTTAGTATCTATGGGACATACTTATACTGTGTTTCATCCTTTGAATTTAGGTCTGACTTTGTCACCAAATCTGTCCTTGGTGTCTTTGGAACCAGGCCATTTTGGGCTTGGAGAGATTATAGGAACAAATTAATTAGAGTTACTAGCATCTCAGGATCTGCCTATACTTGAATATTTCTATTACTTCTTTAAGTGGTTTTTTTAGCAATGACTAGCATGTTTGTTTTTCTCAATCTAGAACCCTGGAATGACTCTGCCCCATTATCCTTATGGGGATGGTAATCGTAGTGTTCCACAATCAGGACCAACTGTACGACCACAAGAAGAAGCATGGGCTTCTCCTGGTGCTTATGGGATAGGCACCCGTTACCCCTGGCCTTCAGCTGCACCATCAGCACCACCTGGAAATCTCTACATGACTGAAAGTGCTTCGCAATGGCCTGGCAGTGGCTCTCCTCAGCCACCTCCTTCATCACCACCCCAGCAGCCCAAGGTAGGAGACCTGTTAGGTGCTGTTCCTTTATCTTTGGGTAATTAAGAGAGCCCAAGATGGGACTTTTCTGTATTGGTATGTGTTACATGGGGACTGATTGCAAAAAGCTGAAGCTTTACTTTAGCCAACTAATTTTTTTTCTCATAGACTTTTTAAAGAGACATTTTAGGTTCACATTCTTTTTGTATGTGCGAGTGTATGTGTGTGGTATTGGGGAGTGAACTCAGGGTCTCACACCTGCTAGGCAAGTCTACTATTTGAGTCACTACTATCTGAATTTTAAACACAATCAAATATTGTATTTTACTACCACAAATAATCTATAGATAGAAACAAAAAATGTGAAATATCTAAGTATTAACTTAGATGGTGTAATTCTAAATTAAACCATAGACTTCAACATCAGCTGCTTGTGGCTGCATTCCTTTTCAGGATCTGTCTTGAGATTTTAACTCTTTAGGGAAAAAACTATCTAGTGTTTATTTATTAAGTCACTGGATGGATTGTGAGGTGTAAGACAGATTGTGAGGCGTTCATGATGATGATCTGCCTCAGGATAGGTTCCAACCATTATACGTAGGAATTCTCTGCCTTTTAATTGGCAGGCCACTCCCTTTTATTTTCTTAGGACAGTTTTTCTCCAGATTAAGGAGAGCGGTCTAGTTTTATTGGTGGGAATCATTTCATGTCCTTTTGGTCAGGTGAAAGATGTGGACTAACAAATCTGATATTGATGGATTCCCATTAAAATTGCCTTTTCCCCTTTTTTGCCCCCAATTCCAAGGATTCCTCATATGTGTATAGCCAGTCAGATCAAGGCGTGAACCGGCACAGCTTTCCTTGCAGTGTCCATCAGTACGAATCCTCGGGGACAATGAACAATGACAATTCAGATCTCTTGGATTCCCAAGTTCAATATAGTGCTGAGCCTCAGCTGTATGGTAATGCCACCAACGAACATCCCAGCAGTCAAGATCAGAGTAATAATCTTCCTGAAGAGTGTTTATCTTCAGATGAAGGTACTTCTCCAAGTATTAAAAAAATCATAAATGTGCTGGAGAAGGTCCAGTATCTTGAGCAAGAAGTAGAAGAGTTTGTAGGAAAAAAGACAGACAAGGCATACTGGCTCCTGGAAGAAATGCTGACGAAGGAACTTTTGGAACTGGATTCCATTGAAACTGGGGGTCAGGATTCTGTCCGGCAGGCCAGGAAAGAGGCTGTTTGTAAGATCCAGGCCATACTGGAAAAATTAGAAAAAAAAGGATTGTGAAAGGATTTAGAATGAAGTGGAAGCCTGTTACTAACTTGGCCAAAGAACTTGTGAGTTTGGTTAGTTAACTGTCTTTGAAATGCCTGTTGATGTCAAGAAGCAATACATTCCAACTTTTCCTTTGATTTTAAAACTGAAAAACTGGCAAAGGAATGGAAGAACATTTTAGTTGTGAGCTTTTTCAGTTTTCAGACGAATGAATGTAATAGGAAACTATGAAATTATCAATATTGCCAAGTAGACTACTTCCTTAAGAAATTTATGGACATGTGGAGGCTGCTTCTTACCAGCAGGAGTGACATACACTTTTAAGTAACAGGCTATCAGAAACCTACCAGATAAGACTGGATATATGTGAGACAATTCTGTTTTTGTAAACATGTGGATTACTTGTCACATTTTTGTACATTGTGACTGCTTTCTGCATACACTTCACGTGTAAATTACAGCTTAGACTTGCCTCTGTTTTGTTTTATTTGCAGTTTACAAATATAGTATTATTCTCTACTTCTTCGTACATTTTGTAGTAATATGTTCAATATAATTATTCAAGAGACTCTATTGACACCCAAATAGAATGGCAATCCTGAATGAATTTATAGCCTTTTACCACTTGAATATATTGCAATGTGTAGTGAGTTCCTGAGGTAAATTGTTTGTCTTCCTTTTTTCCTTTGTATAGTTTGTTAGAGTTCTTCCCACTTCTGCTTTTCATAGTAGCAGGAGAAGGTGAATTTGAAAATAACACAATGACATAATGAAAATGTTTGTGGATATTTTACTTTTTTATTATATTTGGATAAAGATCCAATTTATAATTACTTAAAAAAACTGTATCTTTCCACTATTGCTGCTTCTACAGAGAGCCTTGGGATAAATACATGTGAAAAATTAAATGCAACAGTGAAAGAAAAAACAACTACAGAAGCATCATGTGACTATTTGATAATATTGTTCTCCATGTAAACTGTCAGTTTAACTATCAGGATCCCTGTGGGCAGATTTCAGCTCAGTTCATAGGTAAAAATAATGAGGGGAAAGGAGATTAATGCTCAGGGAATGAATCAGCCATAGCTAGAGTGGGAAATTCATTATTTTCTTCTTTTAAAGGGAGGTTTGGTGTTTATTCTGAAAGTAAACTTCATAGAATTGTTTGTTTCATAATAAAATACTTTTTACTATTAATGACAGTCATTTTAGAGCCAAATTTAAGAAAGGGATGTTTAACTGGCATAGCTTTGGTATCTATATGTTGTTATATAGAAGTGATGAAGTGACTTAGGTAAATAGGTTACCTTTTACATTAAGGTGAGGTCCAATATAGTATCTACTTTTGAAAAAAAACTTGCATTTCTTTTTCTTTTTTTTTTTGGTGGTACTGGGGTTTGAACTCAAGCTTTCACACTTGCTAGGCAGGTACTATAGCACTTGAGTCATGCTTCCAGCCCAAACAGCTATTTTTTCATAAGGTATCCCAGTGATATATTTTTTTTTCCTGGTCTTCCAGTCTTATTAGTGTTACTAAATCTATCTCCTCTACTCATAACTAGAACCAGATTAATACAAACATACTAGATGATGAAAAAAAATGTAGTAACAATATCGGCTGGGTCTTAACCATTGGAATGAGTGATTTCGTAAGATAATATGGTAATTTTATTCTAGGATTCTCTTTCGGCCCAAAATAGGAATGTTTAAGAGGCTTTTAAGCATGAGAATTAAATTTCAGAACAGGGAGAACCTTAAAGCTATGTTGCCTGTGAGACAATGACTAATTTGGAATAGAACATAATTGTTTAAGTTACTGAATGGCCAAGATGCCAATTTCCATGAATCTTGATTTTTATATATATGTACATATTATACACAAATATACAATGTGTGTGTTTTTAAAAATTATTTTTCAAATTTTCGAGATGATTTTAGATATAGAAGAGTTGTAAAAATACTAGTGTTCCTGTATACCCTTTATCCACATTCTTATTTTGACATGTTACTTAATCATAGAACGTTTGTCAAAAATAAGAAATTAACCTTGCTACAATGCTATTAATATTAACTAAAGTGAAGAGTTTATTAGTCTTTTTACTAATGTCCCCTTAGTGTTCCAGGATTCAATCTAGGATCCCATCTGGCATCTAGTTATCTTGTCTCTGTTGTATCTTCCAGTCTGTGACAGTGTATCATAACAGGATACCTGATGTGGAAATGTGTTTCTGGTGTTGTAAACCTCCATCACTATACTAAGGCTAGGATTCCCTACTGTAGTCTTACTGTGTTTTCCTTTGTACTTACTAAATATTTGCTAGAGATACTTTGAGACTATGCAACTGTCCCATTTCTGCTTAAACTTTTACCAACTCCTTTGACTATCCATTGGCAGATCTTGCTTGTGGCAGTTACAATTGTGGTGTTCTAATAGTGATTTTTTATTTCTCTCATTTCTTCTACATTTAATAATTAGAATTCTTCTGTAAGAATTTATGTTTTTAATTATAATAAAATATTTAAGATAGGTACAAACTTAGAACTTAAAGACGTAAACTATGTTAAAATAGTTACCAATACCGGTATCAAAGAAAAGAAAACTAAGTTAGTAACCTGTCTCAGAAAATATAATGAACTTAAGAAGGAAAATAGTATTTATGATTTGTAGAATTGGTTCTACTTCAGACTTAATACTGACTTCAAACTGAAATTAAATTTTTTTGAAATTTTACATTGGACTTTTTAAAAGTGTCTAAATTTATATTACTTTGAGGATCATTTTTATCAAAATCTTGAATAAAGTTACCTAGATATGGCATGATAAATACAGCTGTGATTTCTTTATAATAAGCCACTGTTGTTCCAACTATAAAGGCCAATACAAACATTTCAAATCAGCCCTAATGAAGTATCTAGGACATGGGTTCTACTTATCTCTCTTTGTTGGTACAGAATGATTGTTTTAAATAATTTTTAACAATGGCGTTTGAGGCTGGAGGTGTGGCTGGAGTGGTAAAGCTTTTGCCTAGCAAGCACAAGGTCCTGAGTTCAACCCCCAGTACTACAAAGGGGGGGTGTTGAAAATAGTGCTGTGGTTGATTAACATAAATAGTAACACTGAAAGAAAGCAGCTGAAGGATACAGATTAAACTGGCACTTAAGGAAAAGTTTGAGGGGACAGATAGTTTGATGGAGCCTCCCTTTTCCATCTTTAAATCTTTTTGTACTTTATTTTTTAAAAAAGTTGAGTTTGGGACTGAAGGTTTGGCTAAAATGTTAGAGCACCTGCTTTGTAAGCACGAAGCCCTGAGTTCAAGTCCCAGTACCACCTATATATATATAAAATGAGTGTGCCCTAATTCATAGACATTATGAGTTTAATGAACCTATGAAAAGCATTCTTCTGATCCCACCCCATTTTCTCCTTTTCTAAATGCAACCACTTTCAAATGTGAAATATATTTTAAAAATGTTTCTCCATATTTTTAAATAATACAAAATGCTTTTTTTTTTTCCTTCTTTTTTTATTTTGGAGACAGGGTCTTACTATGTACCCCAGGATGGACTTTAGTTGGCAATCCTCTAGCCTCAGCCTCCTGAGTATTGGGGTTACAGGCATATGCTACCACACCCGACTGATTTTTCTTGATTTATCAATTTTAGGTCTTTTTACTTATTTTCTATGATAGAGGATGAGGATTTAGGTTTCTCTCTCTGCCTTTATCACCCATACATCTCAGTCCTGTAATCCCTACTTTTCAATATAGTTATATGGTAATATCTGTGTAAATGCTAACCAGAGCTCAGCCATGTAATAAACTGATTTCCTAAACAACTCATTGTTTTTCCTGTAATTAATAATTATCTTACTTGGTTTGTTTATATACCCTCAATCACTTGTCTAAATTTCTCTCAGTGCTTAGACATAGGGCTAGATACTTGGTTCTAGTGGTTGAACACCTACCTAGCAAGCATAACACCCTGTATTCAAACGCCAGTAGTGTGAACACAGACAAAAAGGATGTTCAGACATGTATTTTTACCCATTTGAAATGCCTAACGAAGCCAGCCTATTCTGGAGACTTGACTCTGTTCACTTATCCTGTGGATTCCCCTTATCTCTACCATCCTGTGTCTTTTTCTTTCTTAGCTTATTTCCTCATTTTGCTAGAGTATGTTCTCCAATAGCTTCCTGGAAAAGAGTATATGAGAAATAATTTTTTTAGATCGTAACATAATTGAAAATTTTTGTTACATCCCATACTGGATTGACAGTTTAGCTGGGTGTAGAATTTTAATGATTTTTTTTTTGTTATATCGTCTTGTAGTTTTCCAGAACTTCTGTTGAGAAACATATACCATTCTGGTCTTTTGTATAAAATCTGATTTTTGTCTCTAGAAGCTTGTAGGACATTTCTTGTCCTTTCTGTTCAGAAATTTCTTAGTAGTGTGGTGTGGTCCATTTTTATCTGGTTTTTTTTTGTTTTTTTTTTTTTTTGGCATATTTCATTCATGCCCTTAAAGTCTATGAACATATTTTTGTTTGCTTTGTTAACTTCTCCCTGCCCTACCCCAGTCTTTCTGGAATTAGTTTTGATGTAGATCTCAGAGACTAGTTCTTTGATTTTCTTCCTTTTCTCTATAAAACATGGAAAATGTTTTATAGAATTCTTAGAATTCTGTAATTTTCATCTTCAACTCCTCATTGAATTTTGTATTTCGAAGAATTTTTCTCTATTTAGCCAGGTGGCTCATACCTGTAATCCTAGCTACTTGGGAGGCTGAGATCAGGAGCATCAGTTTCAGGCCAGCTGGGCAAATAATTCTAGAGACCCTTGTCTCCAGAATAACCATACCAGAATGGTAGAGCACCTGCTTTGCAACTCTGAAGCCCTGAATTCAAGCCTCAGTCCCACAATAACAATATCTTTTCTCTATTTCTTTATGGGATTCAACTCTAGTTTGTGATTGTAGCATCTTACATCTCTGAGGCTACTACTGATAGTTTATTGATTTTTCTTCCAGAATAATAGATTTTCTCCTGTTAAAACTATTTCTGAGATGTCTGTTAGCTTAGATGTGGGTGTTTTTTTTCTGAGACAGGTCTCACTATATAGCACAGGCTGGCCTCGAACTCATGGCCTGTATCTTCCAAGTAGTGGGATTACAGGCATATACCACCATGCCCACCTGGTTGTGGTTTTTATCATAGTATGATTTCATGTATGTATAGTATGATTTTGCAGCAGTGGAGACCAAAAATTGCTTCTAGGAAATTCTACTTAATTCTTTTCTCCCAGTTCTGGGGATTGAATGTAGGGCCTCATTACATGCCACCTTAATTATTTCTTTATAATCTTTTTTTGGGGGGATAGGTATTTTAATTGAAATTGAGAAGCAGAGACTTTATGGATAATTTTCACTTTTATGTGAAAATAGGAAGGCTTGACATTGTGTGGCTTTTCTGTTGGGAGTAGTGGACGTACTTGTCACTATCAAATGTGAGGTCGAGGATGTGCCAGCTGCAGAGATTGGGAACTTAACAGCTTCTGGGATCATAGGCACGTTTCCTTGTAGCCAACCCTTAAATGTCCTTTTATTTTGCAATTACTTCATCTTTCACATTGAAGCAAGAGTAGTATTGCCTGATA